CCAAGTGTTTATAATCTAAGGAATGTTTGCATTCATGAGTGTGTATTTTGCTGACACTTTATAACCTTACTAAATATTTGATATACATAAAACTCTTGTTTTATAAGAAAACTGACACTTATAAATAAACAATATTGTTTTCTTTGGAGAAATAAGTAGCCAATCCCTTTCAATAAAACAGGGATTTCCAGATAATACATTACTTCATACTAAACCAGAATTCAAACTATTTCTGAAGCAAAAACAAGTTAATATTACCCTGGTTTATGATCTATATCAGGTCACTAGATTCATATAAAGGAGATTTAGTATCCTTATTATTTCTAATCTGAATATTAACTGAAATTGATGAAGYCTTTTAGCAGATCTCAAGTGGTGAAAGTTATGCTTATAGATAGAACAGATCTTAAAGGATAAAGCTAGCAAGGTCTTAAGAAAAATCGAGAGCATGCTGGGGTTACAGCTTCATGACAGAGCTTTTGTCTAGCACACATGTGGCCCTTGGATTCAAGACCYAACTCCATTAAAGAAAGGAGTAGTGTATCAAAATAACAGATTTGATCAAGTTAAAGAGATTTTAGCTTTTCCCTTACCTGAATGACATCCTGCCTCCCTTCCCAGGGTTTGGCTATGTTGCCCAGAACTTCTGGGCTTAAGAGGTATGCCTGCCTCAGCCTCCTGAGTAGCTGAGACTACAGGCATGCACCAGCACACCTAGTTATTGGGATTTTTAAAAAATAATTAATTTATCATCTGAACTCTATTACTTTCAGGGTTATGATAGGTGCTAGAAATACAAACATGGACAAGAATATTCTTACCTTGTAGGATTTCTACTGGGAAGACATGTAAACTCTAATTACAACACAGGAAGGTTAGCACCATAAAAGAAGCATGAATCTAGAGCTTTGGAAGGGATGATTTCTGGAAAGGCATCTGTTATATTTCCTCTGGACTGATTTTCATGTGAGCTTTCCCTTTCTTCTTGAAACAAATAAAATGCCTCTGATGTGTATGTGTTTAATTTTTCTTCCTTTTATTCTCTTCACCAATCTTCCCCCCAATGATAACATCCAAACCAAGAAATTAATATTGGCACTACATTTCAGTTCTTGTTTCCATGGTCCCCGATCTGTGACAGTTCCAGTCTTTCCCTGCCTTTTAGAATCTTGACACTTTTAAACACACTGAGTCAGATATTTTTTAGAACATCCTCAGATGAGATTTGACTAATTTTTTAATGAATATACTGAGATTATGACTCTTTGAGTTCATCATGTCAGGGATAGAGGATGTTAGTTAATATGTGTCACCTTAACCTCTGCTTGGTTAAACTGTAAACTTCTGAATGAGGTATCTCCAATTATATGTAGGTGTGTTGTATAAACATTTAACACAGCACATGCTCTGTTATCCATTATGTCTAGGATAAGATTAGAATATCCCTTTTAAGCTTTTGTTGTAGAACCATTGCTTTTTTTTTTTTTTTTTTGTACAAGGGAATGAATCCAGGGGCACTTAAACACTAACCACTTGTATCAGCCCTTCCCCCACCTTTTTTTTTTGTACTGTGTGTAATATCTTCTTTTTTATTTGTTCTAATTAGTTATACGTGACAGTAGAATGCATTTTGACACATCGTACACAAATGGAGCACAACTTCTCATTCCTCTGGCTGTACATGATTAGAATCACATCAGTAGTGCAATCATACATGCATATAGAGTAATAATGTTCGTCTCATTCCACCATCTTTTCCACCCTACATCCCCTTTCCTCCCCTCATTCCCCTTGCCCAATCCAAAGTTCCTCTATTCTTCCCAAGCGCCACCCCAACCCCCATTACAGATCAGCATCCGCTTATCAAAGAAAACATTCAGCCTTTGGTTTTGTGGGTTTGGCTTATTTTGCTTAGCATAATATTCCCCAGCTCTATCCATTTACCTGCAAATGCCATCGTTTTATTCTTCTTTAAAGCTGAGTAATATTCCATTGTGTATATATATCAMATTTTCTTTATCCATTATGGAGATTCCTCAGAAAACTTGGAATGTAACCACCATTTGACCCAGCTATCCTATTCCTCTCTTTATACCCAAAAGGACTTAAAAACAGCATACTACAGGGAGACAGCCACATCAATGTTTACAGCAGCTCATTTCACAATAGCTAAACTATGGAACCAACATGATCCCCAGCCTTTTTATATTTTATTTATATACTTTTTTATATTTTATATCAAGTTGCTCAGGACCTCACTAAGTTGCTGAGACTGGCTTTGAACTTGTGATCCTCCTGCCTCAGCCTCCTAAACTGCTGGCATTACAGGTGTGAGCCACCATGCCGGGTGAACAATTGCCTTTTAACATTGTGTTTTGTATATTTTGGTAACTAAATTTTATTGAGTTGAATTTAACATGGTCTTCCCTTCATTTCACTTAATAGAAAAGTTTTAGTATTGACATTAAGTAGGATTTTTTTAAAATTCTGATCTGTGATTTTCAATTTAAAAGTAGTACCTGATAATGGTATATTATAAATAGATAAAATCCAATGATACAGAGCCATAAAGACAAAAGTAAGACTAACAATTTCCACAGGCTTCCACTAATTATTAATTATTTAATCATTTGGCATAATTAAATTTGATAATATTAGCAAGATTTGTGAACCAATGTTTTCCAAGAAGTTGTCTTTCTGCTTTTCCATAACCTAATTTTTTCCTATCACAGAAAAGTGTTGATTTGTCATTTAGCTTTGCACAGCAAACTTTGTCCTGCAAACAGAAATACTAACTTTCTTTAGACTATTTCTGTAATAAGAGATGGAAATATGGTTTCTGATTTCAATGARTGGTAGCCATCCTTCTTAGAGGGATACCTGAGAATAAGTGACTTTCACACCTATTACAAGTATAATTTCTGGAAAGATCTGTGTTACTGGATTCAAATGATGCGGTGATCAGGAATTGAGAGACCCTTGAAGTGCTACACACTATATATGTGGCCCAGTCAGTCCTGTCACCCCCCCCCCCAATCCCTCATTCAACTTGTGAGTTTGAATACTTAAATATTCATTTTGGAAATACTTACATATAGACCTTGGATGCTTTTCATAACAACATAATCTCATTGCTTGACTCGTAATACTATAGCTTTGTTTATTAAATGATTTTATGCCATCAATAAGACTGCACCATTTAAAATCCTGCCCCCATTTTAACAGAGGGAAAAGGGAATCAAGATAAAGTTACATTTCTGCCTTATGAGAGCATTAAAAGAACACAGTAATGGCATTTCACTAACCATTTGAAATACTGCCATCTTTTTCATAATTATTTGGTGTATAGTTGAACTGGAATACCTACTCATGAAAAAGTCAACAAAGAAAACACAAAGGAAGAATGAGAAAGAGGAGGAGATCAGTGCGGTTTGCCCAGGCCTCCCATAACAGTAAGAATTCTGATTCCTCTTCTGGGAATTGGCCTCTTCTCTAACACCTGGGCCACTCACTGAGAAGAATGAAGGTCTGTATTCCCTCCCCAACTCCAAGGGAGCTGTTCAGTGCATAACTGCACAAGTAACACAGAGTCCTGGCAAATTAAACGGTAGGTAAACATAGGAACAGGATATGGAATAAGTAAACATGAACAGGATACTAGTATTAACAATGCAAAAATTCCAACAACAACAACAACAAAAATTAAGGCCAATATTTAACAAATGTTATCCTTGATGAAGCACATTCACTATTTCACCCTCATTTTTCTGTTTAGTTTTAATATAAAATTACCAAAAATATTTTACCATTGCAAGAACCTAATCATTTTTAACTTTAGCATTTGAGTTGTTGCATTGTTTCTTTAGCTTTACACGTGCTCTTTGATAATTCTGTTGGAATGTTTTTTAAAAAGAAAATAAAATACAGCTACAGTAAGTAGCTCCATAGTAAACAGAATCAGCTTTGAAAAGATAACGTCTGTTGCTACGTTGGGGAAAAATACTCATACAAATTTGTTAAACAACTGAGTACGTGTTAAAACAGTGCTTGTTTCTGATTTCTTAGAGATCTTTTGTTTTCTTCACTGTTGAGCTTATTCTAGGTTCGAAACAGGTTTGCTCCTCAGAAATGATGCATGAGATGGTAATGAAAGAAAAACAAAAGTAATTCTACAAAGCGTGGGGGTGGGGGGGGACGCTTTTAATGATTTCTGTGCAATCGGTGTGGGGTTCAGTCTCTTCTACCATGTGGTTCTTCTCATTTCCATCGCAGGACTTGGAGCGGTCCCGGTCATGATTGTACCTGTCTCCTTTTTCCTCTCCAGATCCCGAAGTTTTCCTTTCCGGAGGGCAAAGGCAGTCTTGCTCCTGGAGTGGATGCCTCAGCTGGCTTCGCCCCAATGCCGCGAGCCACGTGACAACCCCTAACACCTGTACTGCCACCGGCTCACAGCGCCCCCAACCCCTCCGCCAGGTACCGACCCGGCTGGTCTCCCTCTCCCTTAGGAGGTCAAGGTCCTGGTGCAAGCCTCTCTCGGACCGGCAGGGGAGGGGCTGAGCCACAGCCACAGCCGCAGACTGAGCCCTTGCAGCCTGATTATCACATGACACGGCGGCGGTAGCCGTGGCAGCAGCCGCCGCGGCTCCGCTGGCTCTCCGGGTGGGCTCAGTTCCGCGCACGCAGGAGCTGAGCGCAGGGGGCGGGGAAGGGACCTGCTGCAGCGGTGGCCAGCCAGCCGCTCCCGGAGCGCTCGGTGTCTCTCCTGACCCGCCCGCCCGCTCCATGTCGCTCCGTTGCGGAAGTGTAGCTGGGGGAGGAGGCGGCGGCGGCACCGAGTACAGGAGGCCAGGGCTCGGCCCCCTGCAGCACTAAGCTCCAGGAGCCCCGTGCGGCGCGCCCCAGCGGCCCGGCTTCCCGTGCGCCCGGCGCCCGCCGCAGCCTGCATGACCCGCGCTGAGCCTTGCCCGGCCGCCGCTGCAGCCTCCAGCTCGCACCGCTGCTGCCGGGCGCCGGAGTAATATGCTAACTCGAGTGAAATCTGCCGTAGCCAATTTCATGGGCGGCATCATGGCTGGCAGCTCAGGCTCTGAGCACGGCGGCGGCGGCTGCGGAGGCTCGGACCTGCCCCTGCGCTTCCCCTACGGGCGGCCGGAGTTCCTCGGGCTGTCTCAGGACGAAGTGGAGTGCAGCGCTGACCACATCGCCCGCCCCATCCTCATCCTCAAGGAGACCCGGCGGCTGCCCTGGGCCACTGGCTACGCAGAGTGAGTGTAGCGACACCGGCGGCGCCCCTGCTCTCCTCGCGGCCCTTCCCCGCACGGTTCCAGCCTTTCCCTGCTTCTGGAATCCAGGGCTCCCCACTGGCTGCCGCAATCCAGGCCTCGGCGGGGACCGCTTTACTTAACTGGTCATTTCCCTCTTCTCCCCCTCCCACTTCCCTCACCCCCCAGGACACGGCGTCTCTCCAACCCGAGTTATGGGTGGTGAAGCAGAGGGTAGCAGTTGCTGGACCGTGGGAAAGCTGAGGTTGACCAGGTCCGTGAATCCGGGGGCTGTGACACTTAGGGGGAAAAGTGGCCAGAACAGCTCTGCTGAAGTTAAAACGTAGTAGGAGAATCTAGTATCTGTGCGCCCACCCTCAAAAAAWAAAWAAATAAATAAATAATCTTGTACCTCCCCGTGGAGAGTTTGTGGGGGTAGAGGCTTGAAAGATCTGTCGCCGCGCCTGGGGGAGGGTGTCTGAATTCAGGAGGTGGCGGTGTTAGTGTGCGTGATTGTACATTTCGGAAGATTTCAGTTTCTCCCAGGTCCACCTGAGTTCGTTGGATTCTGCTTGAGCAGGTAGTTAACGCTGGCGTTCGGCAAATGCCAATACTATTTCCCCCGTCCTTGGAGAGGATGGAAACTTATTCCAGATGTCTAATACCACGTTTTGGTAATCAGCTTTGGCGATTAAGTGAGCGTTTGAGTGATTTGCTCTTTTAAAAACTGATTGGGTTAGGTTGACAGCCTGGAGTGGAAGGGAGAAAGGAGGGAGTGAAGATTTTAATTGCCCTTCCTTTACTCGATGACCACTTCTCCATTGACTATTAATAGCCCATCTTATGAATGGTAGGATAAGTAACGCCCCGGCCCATCTACTATTTAAGCTTTACGAAATTGGAAGTGGGAGACAGTATTTAGATCAGAACTCTCAAGTTTATAACGACACTGTGGGTGCAAAAAGTGCATTCTAAACCCGGGTGCCTTTCATACCTGCCTCTTTTCCTTTAACCTCATCGGCTTTATAATCTTGGCCCTCCCCTACCCGTGCATAGCTTCGCTTGCTGATTGGTTCATCCCCAAACCAATCAGGTTCCCCTACGCCTGGGCGCCGGGATGCTGACCCGGTTCTGGTGCCCCGGATACCCCGAGGCACCAGAATCTTCACTCCAGGTYCCAGGGGCAAGAGAAGGTTTGAAAGGCACTCTGCCTAGAATCTTGAATTCTCGTTTCCATCCCACATCATCCTTTAACCGGTCCTATATGAGCTTCTGCATAAATGGGGGTGGACAACTGGAATGTGAGGAGACAGAAGTTAGAGTGGGGGTGCTTCAACAGGAAAAAAAATTATATATATATAATTTATATGTAATTGTAATCAATGTCCTCTTCCCATGCTTGACTGATATATATATATATATATATATATATATATATATATATATATATATATATATATATATAATATATATATATAAATCAGTCAAGCAAGGGAAGAGGACGTTGATTACAATACAAAATAGCATTGTAATGCCAAGGAAAAGCCAAAACAGAACTAAAACACCTGTATAAAGAAAGGAAAAGCCAAAACAGAACTAAAACACCTGTATAAAGAAAGACTTAAAGAAAAAAAGTGCCTACCAAAACACATAAAGCAGCTTCTTGCATTTAAAAAAAATAATAATAAATGTTTAAAAGCCCATTTGGACCCTTTGCAAGACAAAAAGAGGGATACTCCATTATATGATTGGGCTGGGGAGGTTGTGCCTGCCCAACACCTGAAAGGTAGGGGTTTATTGTTACTCAGTGGGTTTGGCAAGGCAGAGGTGCCTGGGCTTGAACCACACAACACACGGGATGCAGGGATAAGGTCAGAAAATACTGAGAGGAATGAAGATAGTAAGACATTGAAGGTGGAAGCCACTTGGACACAGGAAAAGGAAAACTCAGATATGAGTGGAAGAAAGGAAAAGAAAAAAAACAATTTCAGAATGTTTTAGATATGTCAGGGTTAGGAACATAATGTTCCAAGGACTGTGAAGAACAGAAGGGAATTTGAAAAGAGAAAGTAAGAGGGTCGGGAAGGTGGAGGGCTCTACTTCAAACTTGCTGACCCTCGGTTTCCTTATCTCCAAGAAGCTTATCTTTTCCTAGACTAGAACAGAGAGCTGTTTAATTTTGGCTAGAAAGGCTATTAAAAAGTTTCAGTTTTTAAAATTAGTTATAAAAGTAGCCCATGCATGCTAATTCAAGGAAAGACCTGTACACAAATCAGTACATAACAGTAGTCAGTGTTTGGGTGATGTGTGCCTTTTTAGACTTCTTTGGATGCCTATAAACACCTACTGGTTTCTTTTCTTTCTTTCTTTTTTTCTTCTCCAAACAGGTTCATACTAAGTATATTATTCTATAGCATTTTCACAAAACACTTTGTCAATGATACTATCCAAAGTAAATAGAAGTAGAATGACCACATTCCTTTTACAACTCTGTGTATACATAGTATTTCCAATAGCTAACATAGTTAATGCTTACTCTTTAATGTTTCCACTGTTTTCAAATTCACATTATGTAATCCAATTCTCAACAATCTCCTGGGGGTAGGCACTACCATTTCTACTTTATAAATGAGGAAACAGAATCACTGAATGGTTAAACCTCTTGCCCAGGGTCACACATCTTAGGAGAGCCCAGAGACAACACTGAACTCCTCTGTCTTCAGTATTAAATTATGAAACCTGCATCTGAACCCAGGACGAATAGCTAACATTGTCTTGTCACCTCTTTCTTCTCACTCCTAGTCTTGTCAGATATTGTATTGCACCACTTCCTCAAACCTTGGGCTGTAGTTTTTCTTCCTACAAAGATACACCCTGAGTGACCAAGATGGCTGAAATAGAGAAGGGAAGAGAAAGACAAGTGGGAACTGTGGCCATAGTCACAAGGGGCCACGAGTAATGTTGCTCTTGCCCAAAGGGTCAGCTGAGAAGAGGAAATCCTCTTCTCTGTGCTGGATGGTACCTAGTAGAGATAGGAAGGGTGCTGGTGAGCCAAGGTCTAATCAGAAGTGCCTTGTCTTCCTCTCTTGAAAGTGAGTCTGTTCCAGCCTTCCTAGGAAGGAAGAACTGGCCCCACTGGGTATGGGCTTGAAAGATCCAAGAAAGGGGTTGATCACCAACCTTTTTTAATGGTAGAAAAATTAAGGAGAAATGGTCCTCTTTTTTTGCCACATATTACTAATCCTTTTCAAGAAGAGATATAGTCTATGTTATAAATTAGAGAATAAGCTATAAGCAATCTGTATAAAACTTGGGATACAGAAACTGAAGATAGTCATTCACTCTTTCAGTATTTATTGACATTGTACTGATGATATTTCCTGACTCCTCAAAAAGCTTCCTATTGTGGCAAAAAAAAAAAGTGCCACTTAATTAAGTAGAATTTATTAGGTTATACAGTCCTGGAAAGCATTGCAGTTAAAGGCAATATCCACTAAACTAAAATCTTCTCAGAAATGTGCATTAACAGGTTTTGTTGTAAAATGTGGCTTTGAATTCACTGAGTATGGGAAGTCTGCCCAGAGAACATCCACAGGAAAGCAGCAGTCTGACCCAGAGTCATGGGGCAGCTAATTTTCTACAAGTTCAAATACCCAAGTGATCCCTGTACTACAGACACCTGAAAGTCAGTTTCCTGATTTTGTTTTAATGAATTAAAAATGCACTTTGACTGACTTTCTTGTTTTTCTTCCTTCTTGTTCTGTTTGCCTAACTTTTCTCCCATTCACAAGCGGTTGGACTTAAAGACGCAGGCATGCATGGAGTTTGGGCCTTCAACAAAAAGCCAAAGAATATGCTACCATTTTGAGTGACACTATTTTGTATATTAAAGCATGATATTTAAGTTTTATCAATGGTACATTTCTTGGTTCAAAAAGAAAGAATTTTAGTATAGTTTTATTTAGTTTATAGGTATAATTATAAAATCTGTTTTTCCTCTATTACCTTCCTATAAAAGTAACCCTGGATGTGGGTACAAAAAACAAAACAAAACAAAAAAAAGCTACTTTGAGAGCCTCAAGAGCCTCTGTTAAATTTATGTTATGTAAGTTCTTTGTGTCTCACAGATTCAAAACTGTGAAATTTTGATAAAATCATCTTATTTAAGTCTAGCACCCAATCCACAAGTATTTGGATTTCTTTTGGAATCTTCAGCCTTTCTGTCTCTTTTGGTCATTGCTAATTACCAGTAACCAGCAGATAGCATCCATTGGCTGTGCAGTAGTAATGACAGAAACCACTATTTCTCTCTTGCCCTAAAGCTCAGAAGTCCCCTGGTCTTTCATTTTCCCTTCTAATATCCCCTGGGCATAGATTACCCCTTTTGCAGAGATCTTTTTGCAGACTTCCTGAGGTGCCCATTTTCTTAGGAAAAGGTATCAATGTCCTACCATGGTTTAGGAACAGGATTTAACCATTCAAAATGGTGTGTGTACCCTGTGTTTCAGCTCTGGTGTAGATAGACAGTATCATCTCTGATGTTCTTCCCCACACAGCATTTGCTATTTAGGGTTACAGTAATACCAACTGATAACTTAAAACTGTATACTGGAATTATTTCCTATAAACATATTATTTTTCAATAAAACGTAGTTTTACTTCTTGATATTTGGTAGAAGTAACCAAAAAAAAAAAAAAATCCCAAGGACCTTTTAGGCCTTTTGATTTAACTAAACAGAGGATTGATATTTTTTATCCTTGAATTTATGCCCTACTCTACCAGAAAATAAACATCATTCATCTGCTTCCATTATGTCTCTCATGAAGCTGATGAAATGAATAGCCCTCCTACTATGTGTCAGGCATTGGTACCATGCTGGTCCTATGGTATAATAAGATACAGTCATCATCATCCTAAAGAAAACTTGATAACATAGTCTTCCTACTCACCTTTTCTGTATTTGAAATTAAGTCAAAATGGAATCATGGATTCATGATTCAAA